GCCCGCCGGAGTCCGGAGCCAATAAAGTCGGTGAAAGTGCTGTAGTTGAGAGAGCTGTGTGGTGGTGGGACCTCCTGGATGAGCGGGGTCGAGGTGGGGGTCGGGGTCGCGGGCGGGGACGGAAACCTCTGGAGCTGGAGCCGGCGCTGGTGCTGTCGGTCAGCTCTGCCTCTAGATTGATTTGATCCTCACGCAGGTCATCCTTGAGCGTGAACCCTTACGTGAGGGACACGGGAGGGTCCCAGTGGCCTGGAGGTGGGCAGGGCTGGGAGTCTGAGACGCCGGGTACGTGAGGTGCGGCCTACTCTGGGTTTATTTTTGCTAAACTTTTTCAGGGCCTCTGCTCTCCTGTCCCGTTTGTGGGCGGTCGGGACAAAGTTCTAGAAAGAGAACCTTGGGGCCGAACTTGTTTGGGGGAGGAAGTTGTCTTCAGGCCATATTCTTCCAAAGGCCGAGTGGAATAACTGTCTCTGAAGGGTGGCGTCGATTACCATAAAGAGATTTTTTTAGCCTAAAAGTCATGTTTTCATGTACGTATCAGGTATCTTCATCTAGCACACATATGTTCATATTTCCTTAAAATGAAGGAAACATGCGGTATTTTATGTAACACAGAAGCATGAATCATGAGGGTGGAAATGTCCTGAAAGTGGATTCTTTAGTCATGAAACATATGTTTGAGAGTTTTCAAGTAATTTTCTCAAATTTTGGCTTATTAATGGTCTTGTCGCCATCATTTTATAGGGAATTGGCTTGACTTTGCTTTATAATAAAACCCTTGTTTTTAGGGGCTACGCTTAGCCAACAAATAATTTTTTTTTTTTAAATCCCTCACTTTTTCCCAGCTGCCTGAGTAATGACTTCTGTCCCATTATAACTACAGGAGTTGTGTTAAGTAACAGCACAATATTGTTTTAGTAGAGATGTGAGGAAAGGTAGGTCACGTTGATTTAACATACTTCAGGGACTCAGCCCTTACAAGTTCAACACTGGTGATCCTGTTCTCCCTTGGTTGACCCTTTCATTTCATCCTCCTTGGCAAACCATCCTGATCCTCAAGACCCACCCAAAAGATCCCAGTTTAGATTTCACATCTTTGGATTCAATTTTCCCATGATTAAGAGTTGAAATCCTCCTGGTCAAACAGAAATAAAGCAGTATGTCTTCCTCCTGAGCTTCGGCTGGCCCATTTTCCCACATGGACTTTATTTCCTCCTCATTGTTTACTGAGCACCTATGCTGTGCTGAGTCCTAAGTGATCAAGATACAGTTGTGAGGCCAACCAGATTTCCACTGTCTTGGAACATAGGGTTTGTTTGTTTTGTGTGTGTGTGTGGGCGTGCACGTGGTTTTTTGTTTGTTTGTTTTTTTCTTGTTTCCAGAAGACAGGATAAGGAACAAATAAGTATTACTGATCACTTTCTGTTAGTGCTTACACTCTCTGGCTGTTGGGATTACTTCTACCTTATGGTCATCTTGGAAGTTTGCAAAGTCGGGCCACACAGTTTTTTGAGGAGGCCGATTTTTGCTTCCTCATGTCTGGGCATAGACCCCAAGAGTAGCACGGTAGTTCTAGGGTGTCCCATTACTCATGCCAGGGCCTGCCTCTCATTCAGGTTTTCTCATAAGTCGCGAGACCCATTTTGAGGACCAAGATAGTTCCCTTTTTATGTGCCAAATATTAGGCACTTAATTGAAAGATTTACCATTGCCTACAAGAAATGGTTTTACCTGTAGGTAAGTATACTAACAGGATTTTAAATTCAGTTGTTAGCGTTACTTCTCAGTAATACCCCCAGTGGTATTACACATGCATATTTACACACGTACAGTCAGCCCTCTGGATTCAGTCAACAGAATGGAAAATATGTGGGAAAAGTTACAGTTGTCCCAATCATGCAGATGTTTTCCCTATAATCATTCCCTAAATAATACAGAATAACAGCTAAATAGCAGTTACATAAAATTAGGAGTTCTAAAATGCTTTTCTTAAATTGTTTTATTTTCCTAATGGTCTTGTCATATTTTTTGGGAATTGACTTTGCTTTATAACAAAACAAAACTCTTGCCCTTTTAAAAAGGGCTACTTTTACCCAACAAATAACTTTTTTTTTTAATCCTACGTGTTTTCCCACAGCCTGAAAGTAGTGATCTGTTCCGATGATCTTGATGTGTTACATAGTGAGAATATGTAATCTAGATGATTTAAAGTATACAGGAGGATTTGTTGAAGGCATTTGATCTACAGATTTTGGAATCTAGGCCTTTGTTTGGGAACTAATTCAGAGGTATTAGATACTGAAAGATGGGTGTGTGTGTGTGTGTGTGTGTGTGTGTGTGTGTGTACATGTATACACATACATGCCAAATATACTGTCTATCTCAAGTGTCAGTTTTGACCTAATTTCCTGAAGGTCTGGGGCATCTGAGAGAGATAACTACCAAAATGATGAAATGTGAGGATAAAGGCCATCAACATATTTATAGGGAAGAAACATTTCTGCCTTTTCCTGATATTCACAGCAGCCTGCTTAACCTCATTACCCCAAACACAGACAGGATGCAAGATAGTGATGGTCTCCCTCCCTCCACCCCACCTCCCCTACCTGTGATTGCCTCAGGTATTCTTAGGATCAAGTACTTCTGTCTCAAAGTTCAGTGAGCTTCTTCACCTAATTTCTGGTTTTAAGAGTTTTGTTGTTGTTTTTGGTTTTTTTTTAACCTGAATAATTAATTGACAGTTAAAAAGAAGGCATACCTCCTGAACAATCATTTCAGCCTGTGGCCCTTGGTGAAAAAACAGTTGTTCTTGAGGTAAATTTAAAAAGCATTATTTCTTCAAGCTTGAGACCATGTGGAAGAAGATTTAGGACAGAAACGGACTGAATTCAGGTTTTGAGTAGATTCCCACTGCATAGCTTCGTTTGCTCACTCCGTCTTTCCCGGGGGAAAAGTGTGCCCAGTGTGGCAGGGTGTGAGTTGTCCCGGATTTGTTTGGTCTCTGTCTTTCCTGCAGAGCCAGTTTTGAGTTGAGTGTCCCTGAAAACTGGTCTGTTTAGTTTGGCTGGTGTGGAATCAAAAGTTTTAGTCCAGCCAGAAATTGGTGACTGTCATACAGAATGCAAATGCTTCACAGGGCACTTTTCAGTGGTGGAAAGGTCATAAAGCATAGTTCAAGAACTCAGGCTCTCGGAAGGAGACTTAGGTGCTAACCTGCTCTTCTCTATATAGTTTTCTGATTCTGCAAACCTTGCTCAGTCCCTTTACACCTCAGTTTCATCTGTAAAATGGGCATAATAATAGTTTACCTCAGTGGGATTTGGGGAGGATTCACTGAGATAATGTGAATGATAGCTCTAAGTTTCCGGGAGAGAGCTGTGCTCAGTGAATAGTAGCTATTCTTTATTCTGTGTGAAACTAGATTGAACATAAGTTTTAATTTTAAAGAGTCTTGGAAATTGGTAATTTATTAACTCGTGTAGGCATTTTAGAATGTTTAAAATATGAGAAATTTGACAACAGCAGGTTTTTAAAAAGTAAATGTTCACTTTCCTAAAAGAGGGAAATGGAGAAAAGGAACAAAAATGATAATGACAAAACCCCAAAAACCAAAAATAAAATAAAGTAAAACACAGAAGAAATTAAATTAATTCAGGTAGGTATAAAATTGTCATTGTAAAGCTTTATTTTGCTTTCTCCACAAGTAAGAAAGTAGAAAATTAGATTTTCATAATAGTTAAATGAAAGAGTATGACAGAGCTTTTGAACAGTAACTTGGATTCTTAACAGTTTTTTCAAGCCAGGCAATATAAAACCCTAACCTCAACAAAATTGCCTTTCTTTTATACAAACAAGACAAGCAATCCGCTTATGCAGATTTATTTGGTTTCTGCTTTAAATACCACTCAAAGCCCAAGTGGCCACTACAGTTCCACAATATCCATGATGAAATTGTGCTTACTGTAAGAGACAAGTGTGCAAATTAGCATTAAAGTGAGAACATAAAAGGGAGAGAAGCAATTTTGAATTCTGAAGAGCAAGAGACATGCAGTGGCCTGAAAAGGCATACTTTTTTCTTTTCTTTGTTTTTTTTTTTTGAGACAGGATCTCTGTGTAGTTCCGATTGGCCTTGACTTGCCACGTATCCCAGGCTGGTCTTAAACTCATGGTGGTCCTCCCGCCTGTGCCTCCCAAGTGCTGGGATTACAGGCGTGCGCCACCACGCCTGGCTCTAGTCTCACAACTTCTAACCCCCATAGCTGGGCCAAGAGCCCATGGCTCCAGGAAGATAACACTATATAGACCAGTTCTTGGAGGCACAAAGACAAGACTGAAAGAAAGTGTTACCAAGTTGGAAATGGGGCCTAAAGAAACATTTTTTCCCAAAGTCACTGGTCTGGAGATCTCCTAACCTCCTCAGCCCTTGAAGGTAGCTCTCAAATGGATTTACAAGTTCTATCTATCTCTTTCCCTCTAGACTTTCAGTCTATCACTAAATATTTGCAGTAGAGGCAGGGAGTAGAAGACTAAAATTGATTTTTACCAAAGAATACAAATCTGATTAGCTAATTTAAAAATTCCAAGAGATCTTCAAAGGAAAAGAAAATGAACTAAACACTGTAGTACTTTAACCAATATGAGAACTCAGTTCAGCATGAACTTACTTAACAGCCATGCGTAGGTACACTTCAGAGATATAAAATCACTAGGTCTTTTATTCTAGGGAGAGTCCCGGTCCAAAGAACAAGTAGTTTAGCTGAACCTGACAACCAGGATTATACTTGTTGAACAAGCTGGGTTTGTTGCTCTTTGCAACAAGGAGGAACACACGTTATGGAGGTATCTGACTCAGTAAGGGATGTTAGGATTTATTATGGGATGTGAATCTGTGTGAGCTGATTGGGGGTTTTGCTCAAGATTGCCTGCTGTCTGCAAAT